AAAAAAAAAACCTACCCGCTTGGGACCTAACCGTCTAGAAGTTACAGCTGAGACAGTGTCCGCTTGGAATATTTCTAACCCATGAAGACAGTGGGGTATGAGAACAGTCTTTTTAACTGTGTAGCGTCGCGCGCCGAACGCCGAGGGACACCATTCCTGCCGGTGCGTGTACATGCATACATCTAACCTTGATACAAGCTTTCGAATCACATTTTCTACTTATCTCTCGTGTCCATCACCCACAATGAATTATTTTCTTGTAATGGTGTTCCATTATCATTGGTTATTAACATATGCACATCTTTGATTAATTTTAGAGCCATTTTAGGGAAATGAAGTCGTTACTTTAGAGACCGCTCGAACGGGACGGACGTGTGCGTCTCGCTTCGTATGTTGCATCATCTCAATATTCAAATTTCGTTTGCCGCACTTACTCTTTCAACCCACCTCGGAAGCAGGGTTCATAGAGTTGACTCCGAGGTAGATTTACTCATACTTTTGGAACAAATAGGCTCCGCCCATATGGTCAGTTACCTCGCGTTTTGGAATGGCGTAGAGTTAAACTCTGTTACTCGGAGTGAATTTTGGAACGCACCCCTGGTACACTCATGCTAGTGGAATGAGTGATCGCGACGTAGAGAGCGTGAACGTCGTGAGCGTCAAGTGGAACGCACTCTTAGGGTGTTATTACATGAGTGCGGAAACACGGAAATACGAAAACGCGCAACCAATCAGTAATCGGTGAAACGCGAAACCATAACAGCGGATTGCTTCTGATTGGTTACGCGTTTCCGCATTTCCGCGTTTCCGCGCTCATGTAATAGCACCCTTAGTGAGCACTGAGTGCGCACTACGCGAGTGTCGTGCGGTCAAATAAACACGTGACACTAGACACTAGACACAAGTGCGCATTGGCACTGCCAATCGAACACGCTCTTGACACTGAGGCTATATTCGGGGAGACGCTATTGTGTCATTCTATCTTCATCGTCCATTAGACGTGAGAC